GCTTCCGATCGTTCCCCTAGCCGGCAGCTCTGTCTGAGATATATGAATTCAGTGGTTGTTAGCCGATGTTTTTGTTCAAATCGCTGCTGATCCGTCAGTTCCGTTCGGATTTTTGAAAAAAAGTTTTGACACGTGGCTGCAATGTTCTGGATTGATAGGCGTGGTGACGATTAAACTCTGGCTAGAAGGTGCTTATTTAGTTGATTTTATCATTTATCTGGAATTATATCTACGACTGTCTAAATTTTGGATGGATGTTTTACACTGAAGCTGAGACTTAGAAGAGTAGGGAATCGGTTTAATGTTCTTTAGGGTTTGCGAAATCCGTTGTGGAGGAAGCGCCAACTAATTGTCTGACTATATACAAAATTTGAGGGGGTCGCTTATTTTTGACGATAGGGGTTAAGCAGTTTTGTATCCATTTTGAACTGCGACTCCCTGGGAATTTGAACGTTTTGTGCGTCTTGTCAGGTGTGGTCACTGCAAGAAACTTGCCCCGGAGTATGAAAAGCTTGGTGCTACCTTCAAGAAAGCTAAATCTGTGTTAATTGGGAAGGTCGGTCTATTCTCTGCTGAGCGTTCCTAATGCGAGCTACATGTGCAGCTCTTGACTTGTTTATTCTGGAGCAGGTGGACTGTGATGAACAAAAGAGCATATGCAGTAAATATGGTGTTGCTGGATACCCGACCATTCAGTGGTTTCCAAAAGGATCTCTCGAACCCAAAAAGTAAGTTTTCACTCGATCAAGAAATAAGCAAATTTATCTTGAGTTTGTTTTAGCTTGTCTGCTCTTAGGTCTCTAAGTGCTTGTGTCTGACTTGACAGGTATGAAGGTGCCCGCACTGCTGAAGCACTGGCCGAGTTTGTGAACAATGAAGGAGGTAAAATACACTACAAGTACTTTGCCCGAGTCACTTGCTAAAATTCCAGGATTTTTCTCAGTTTGTTCGTGTTCCTATTTCTGACTGTCAGAGTCTTGCTTTTAGAAATCACAACTGCTTCTGGATAAATTTCGGTGTCTTACTGGTAATTTTTTCAAACAGCTTGCTGAAATACTTAAGAATTCTGTTTTCAGGTACCAATGTAAAGATAGCTGCGGTTCCATCAAATGTAGTGGTGCTGACTTCTGACAACTTTGATGAGATTGTTCTGGATGAGAACAAAGATGTCCTGGTTGAGTTCTACGCACCTTGGTAACCATTTCAGCTTGTTCAAATCAAAACCATGATATAACATTGAATGATTTCAGTTTTAACTCAATTTATTTTCTTGAATTTTGTTCTTCCATTTTATACGAAATTGTATTTTCCTACTAATTTCAACTCGCTTCTTCCAGGTGTGGCCACTGCAAATCCCTTGCTCCTGTACGCTCGATTGCCTGCCTTTGTTTGATCTGTCAATAGTTTTCTTCTTTTTGTTATTAACATGTCTGTCTTTCCTGTAATCTGGTGCAGACATATGAGAAGGTAGCCACGGTGTTTAAGCAGGAAGAAGATGTAGTCATCGCTAATGTGGATGCTGATAAACACAGAGATCTCGGTGAGAAGTAAGTTGAACCCCCAATTTACCCGAGGAACCACATGTGTTAATGGTTAAAATATGTATCCTAAAGACCTGAGATTGACTCACAGTCCTCATGTTTCAGGTATGGGGTGAGTGGGTTCCCAACACTGAAATTTTTCCCAAAGAACAACAAAGCAGGTGAGGACTATGACGGTGGGAGGGATTTGGATGACTTTATAGGCTTCATAAACGAGAAGGTGGGAACCAGCAGGGACAGTAAAGGGCAGCTCACTTCAAAGGTTAGTAAACTGTCAGCATGACTCCCAACAAGTTTTGAGCTTTTTCATATAACTTGCTTATGGGTGTGTGTTTTTCCTTGGATAGGCCGGTACAGTTGACAGTTTGGATGCCCTAGTGAGAGAGTTTTTGGCTGCTAGTGACGATGAGAGGAAGGTAGTTTTCTCTCGCATCGAAGAGGAAGCTGCAAAGCTCAAGGGCTCCTCTGCCAGGTTTCTTTTTGGAGAATGGCTGCTCTCCTTTGCCGTATGGATGGGTTGTTCAGTTCACTGATAGCCTAAAATATTTGGCTCTGGATGTTGGTGTAGGTATGGAAAGATTTACTTGAAGCTCGCTAAGAATTACATGGCTAAAGGTTCTGACTACGCCAATAAGGAAGTTGAGCGCCTCGAACGCATGCTTAGCAAGGTACACTCGGGTTTTGTTTTCTCCTGTAAATCAAAGTGTCCATACAGATTTGCCCGTATTTCCACACACACGCTTGAACACGTATACATGCATGACATGTTGACAACACAAACACGCACATCTCATTCAGCATGTGCAAACGTATCTTCTCTATGCCCGCACACACACACACAAGTATATAATTATGCATGGTTCCACAGATACACTACTGTGTATTCTGCCAAAAGCGTATTCATAGGCACACATGTAAACTTTCTATGTAATCGGTTGAAGATGTTTTTTATATTAGGCACTACAGCCCTAACCCTAATGTCTCATTTTTTTTTAAATGTCTGGGGGTTCAAAAGGCGATCAGCCCGGCGAAAGCGGATGAGTTCACTCTGAAGAAGAATATCCTGACGACATTCGCTTCTTCTTAAAGGGCGATTGCGGCTTTTGTGGCGTTGTCACACAGGTAACACCAAAAAAAAAAACTATTTGTAATGATGAGATGAGATAGAGTTTTAGAATCAGTTTTTTTTTCCCTGTTGGTGCGAGCTGTCTGTGTGTAGGGGCTCTTCAGTTTGATATAATCTGAAGAAAATATTTCCAAATAAACTTTGAAAAACTTTTACCTTTTTAGTTTTAAGATCACATTTCCATCGCTTTAAATCTTCATCACACGGCCCATATTTCTTTTGACCAAATTTGAGTGTGCGGGTTGTCCCATGGATGATTGTTGCTATATTCACAGAGAGCTCATAGTCATAGCCCCCACCCACGAGGAAGACGAAGCAAAACGTCACTGGTACGCACAAAACGAAGCCACCAGCAGCTGATGTGGAACGCCAAGAAAACGCAGAAAGTGGCGGCGCGATATAC